ACCCGTGAATGAACCCAGTGGGCATGAAAGCCACTGGATGGGAAAGTCTGGTATCTGGTAATTCCCAGCTGCACTCTCAGCATCACTCCTGCTGGTTTAATATCACCCATTACATATTAAAATTGACCTAGTTCTGTCAGGTTCTGCACTACACTGGAGATGGGGTGACCTGCTGCAGCCACATGGCCACACAGCATCTCAGAGATGGGCGTGGCTGCCAAGATGCTAATAAACCTGTTGACTGCAAGACACCATGAAGCAAGACTCCACCCACTGAAACCTTATCCCTGCCTTTGATGTACTCTCTCTTATATAAAGGATCAGAGCCATTTTTCTAGTCATTCAGTTCCAGCTCCTATGTGGACTAGAGAACCTATTAGGAGCTCCACTTTCCCTTTCAAACTTAATTTCTGGTTTTGTCTCTTATTTCTTTGCTAATTATTTCAGACTTTCATTTTCTCAAGTAGCTCATCACCTTCTGAGCAAGAAACTATGTTAGTGGGGCACCCAGCACCCCACCATAACCAAAGGTTAAACTCCTGCCAAAGCAGCCTTTCCACATGTGTCTCTCCTTCGTGGTCTGGGGGCCTCTTCTACTCCTCTTTTTTCAGGTCTGTGGTGACAAGCTTCTAGAGTCTACACTATTCTTTGTGCCCTCCCTACAGACTACCCACACATTATAAATAGACCCTTTAATAAACTCTAATCAAATGATCAGTTTGAGTGTGCCATCTGTTGTTGGCTAAGACCTTGTCTGATATTTAAACGTATTTAGCTCGTATGAAGACACTGAATAACTAAAAGATTTTGCAACTTGGGGTACAGGAGAACTAGCATGACAAGATTTCCTTTTCAGAAAAAAGTACTTACCATAGGTGGGATTCCACATTTTTTTTAATGAATTTACCAGATAGGAGTCTATAAAGAAAAGTGTGCTGGCAAAATGATTATGCTTTTGTGTCTTGATAACAGTACCCTGCTGAAACTACAGAGCAACAGTTGCTATAAAAGCTATACAATAACTGGATATAGTATGACTGCTCACATTCCTGGTGGATGCTGCAATTGATATCTTGAGTTTGAGGAATTCCATGTAGTGGGTAGAGCATCCAGTGCAATGAGTCACAGAGACCTGGGGAAAATCTCGGATCAGATGCCTGGGGCACCTCTCCTTAAGACTCAGCTTCATCACATATAAAACTGGGATGATTTTTTCCTGCCCTGTTTAACTTACAGCATTGTATGGAAGATGAGGTAGGAGATGGTGCCTTACATCACTTTTAGAAAATGTGGAATGCTGTTTTCTGTGAATTCCATGGAATGGTCATTGTGTAATCATGTTGAAACCTCAACATGATTGTTATCCCGGGATAACAATGGGAACATCATGGAGAACATTAAGATGCCTAGGAGAACATTAAGGAACAATATGGATTAGATTAGTTCTAAATCTTATGTTTAATGATGCAATGTGTCTGTTCTTATAAAAGACGTGTGAATGATGATCTCAAATTCAAGTTGCTCAATATGCTCAATCTGAATAGAACTTGAATCTTTTCTACAAAGTACAGTATTGAGTGAATGCTGAAAAAATCTTGCCCTAGTTTTGTATTCTGATATTTTTACTTAAATTTTTAATCCTGAGTTTGAAAATTATGCTTTTGTCTCACTCTCCAAAGTCCCCTTCCTTTCTGTTCCTTTTTTTTTTTTTTTTTCACTAGGAGCAGTTTATTCCACATGGATGTGCTACCACCATGATGTGGATAACTCTGACAGGAGATGATCAATTCACATTGCTGGGTTACCATCTATCTAGTTGGTATCTCCGCACTAGCTTTTTAGAGCCATTTCTTTCTTATCTTTTCCTTTCCTCCCTGTCTGTGTAGGTCATTGTAGCAATAGCTCCTAAAGTCCTTTTATTATAATAAAATGTTAATAACTAAGCTGTGCATCCTGGTCATATGACTTAACTAGGTTGAAATTCATTTTTCCCTTCTGGTAGTCTCATTTTTCAAATGAATACCTGTTAATTTCAGCATATTTTCTTACCAAGAAAAAAATTATATGCTTCACAAGTTGTTAGGAAGATGAAATAAGATGATATTCGTAGAGGGCTTAGTAGGGTGCCTAGAACATCATGTGCATGTGACAATTGGTGGCCATTATTATGATGATTTTAATAGTAGTAAGGGTGATCCCTCTTTCTGATATGATTTTTTTGTTCATTATCCTTTAATTTTTTATACTTTCATTGTTTTCATTGAAATCCATAATTCAATATTTTAAACATAATCTTCACATGGGTTCTCTCCACATCTAAATAATAAATAAGTTTAAAAACAACAAAAAAGAATAATGCCCTTAATAATGCCTGAATTAACAAGTTCATTTTAACTATTTCTAAAATTTATGTTTCAATATTAAAATGAGGATTTTTAGACACTAGAAAAGGGATCTGGTTAAAATTTCTCTGAATTACATAGTAGAACCTTGTCAGTGATGAGAATGTCATCAAGATGCAAATGTGATATACAAAATTTCAGAGTGTTCATGGTCAATTTGATTGCTAGAGGAAATTGAGAACTCTGTAACAAAAATGAAAAAGTGATATAATCTTAAATTAATTTCATGTATAGAAATTTTATTATATAATCTAAAATGAAAGTAGGAACAAATTAAATATTTTTATTTAAAAATACATTTTCAAAGGACAAAAGAAAAAGCAAACTACTATTTTAAAAAATTTTTATTTTACTTATTTATTTTGCAGTACTGGGAATCAAGCCAAGGGTCTTGTGCATGCTAAGCAAGCATCTACCACGGAGCTGCACCCCTGGCCCTTATAGTCCATTATTTTAGTAATCAAAAAGGATATCTCCAGAATTGTCCTCTCAATTCCAGACCATAGTCTTGGTTCCACTATTTACCTCCTATTTTAGTTTGTCTTTGATAACAGGGATATAGGTCTTCTAGCTTTAGCCAGAATGAAAATAATTTAACAGTACTTTTAATATCCTACCACTTAGAATAGAGTAAGTATTTGAACTTAAGGGGGAAACATTTTGGTACTATTCCATAATGTGCCCAATACTGTACTATTCCATATTGTGCACAATCTTGGCATGTTCTGAAGCCAACTAGCTCACACTGAGCAGAGAGAGCTAATTTCTCTATATCTCTTCCCAATTCTGCATTTAGGGATACCATATTGGTAGCTAAATTGACCATGGTGGAGCTATTTATACCAAAAAAAAAAACCCAGGAAACACTGCAAATCAAGATTTTTGTTTTCCTTTTGCTTTTCTGAGAACCTGTAATTAAACTTTTAACAGCACACTGCTAACCTCGTCTCTTGGGTATTGGGAACTTTGCATCTCTATGAATACAGAGATCTAGTCTATTTTGTTAACTTGTATCTTCTGGGTTCACAGTACCAGGAATTCAATAACTATGTTATGAAAGAATGAAAGAATAGAATGTCCTCGAAATCCACACGATCAGAAAATCTTTTTAAAACCCTGAAAGTAATTTATTTGCTGTATCTATCTATGCCAAGTGAAAAATGATCCAAATATTCCATTCCCAGCCTCCTAACACAGTGGATTTTTAACTGGCAAAATGAATAAAATGAGGGTAATTAGTTAAATGGCAGAACTAGCATAAGAATCCATTTCTCTTCATTTCTTAGTCCTCTTTTTGTAAGTACTAAGAATTGTCTGTTGGCAGGTAAACTTTTTAATTGTATGGCATGTAGATGAGCTACATAAATTGGAGCATCTTTTAAAGAGCTAAATAAATATTGTGGTAATCAATGATAATAAAATCAACTGCCTGGATAATGAATGAATACTGCAGAAAAGCATTAATAAAAGGAATGTACAATCTTAGCATATTGGCCAAGGTAACAAATTTTTGCATTTGCAAAGTGCTCTTCCTCTAGGTAATCTTAGGTGTCTTATAGGGAAAAAAACGTCAGAATAAGGGAGAAACAGTGTTGATGGTTATGTTAGTAATTTGGCATTGTGTTAGGAATGTTAGTAATGGTGATAGTAATAGAGGAGTATGCAGAAACTCTTTTGCTTTAAATATAAAGAGCAAGAGTGTAAAGCATGCAGCTCTGGGACTTCCAAATTGTATGTGCCCACAGCATAGCAAGGGAAGTGACATGCCTACAAGGCAAAGGGTAGAACCACATAAAACACTGAGGCAAAGACACTGGACACCACAACAGAGCTCCTGACAGATAAAACAAACTACTCCAGAATTCCCATGTAATTTGACACAGCCAGCTTGAACCAAGTGTCCTGGAGAAATGAGATTTAGAAAGCAATATTCTGCAAGAGTATCTAACACTAGAATTTGTAGTCCACGATGGGCATACCTTCTGGAGACTTAAAGATGGTGAGATTTATTTAAAAATATTTTCTTGCCTCAAGATGTGCAAGGGTACTAGATGTAATCCTTATTGCTTGGACTGAGAAGATGAAGTTCCAGAATTAATCAAAATAAAGAGAAAATATTACAAGAGACAAGTTTTTTCTTTTTTCTTTTTTGATACCAGGGATTGAACCTAGGAGCACTTAACCATGAGCCACATTCCCAGTCTTATTTTGTGTTTTATTTACAGACTAGGTCTCACTGATTTGTTGAGGCTGGCTTTGAACTCGCAATCCTCCTGCCTTAGCCTTCTGAGCTGCTGGGATTACAGATGTGTGCCACCATGCCCGGCACAAGTTATACATTCTATCCATTAACTTTCATAGCCTTTTTAATACCACATATTTCAAAATTTTCATATTACAGGAATATTTAAAGTTTTTTGCTAAAGTCAATGATTAACCTAATCTACTTCAATAAACCTAATATTAACCCACTAGATTATATTTAAGCAAATAATTGCATATAATGTCAGCAATATTATTAAAAATTACAAGTAGCTAAGTCATTTACCCATTCCACATTTTTAAAGAAGGCAAATAAACAGCTAAGAATTAATTCTCATACAACTTTATGAGGTAGAAAGTAGTATTAGCTTAAATTCAGAGAAGATCAGTACACGGCAATATTATTCATATTAGAAAATGATGCAAGTAGAGACTGAAATCAATCAGTGTCTTTTTCAGAATCTGTCCTAGTAACAATTGTACTTTACTGCTCATCATATTATCTGATTTATTGGGAATACATTAAAAACACAGAATGACATTTTACTCAAGTTTGAAATGAATGAAGGATAGCATATCCATCAAGATGATATTCAAGTAAATATACAAAATAACAACTGTTGTTTTTTGTTGTTGTTGTTGTTATTGTTTTGGAGTTTTGTCTGTTTGTTTTTGTCCTGGAGATTGGACAACTGTATTTTTTAAATAAGCATAATAGCAAATCTCCTGTTAAGATTAGTCTAACAAAATCACTTAAGAAAAATGATGTAAGGGGCTAGGGTTGTGGTTCGGTGGTAGAGTACTTGCCTAGCACTGAGTTTGATCCTCAGAACTACATATAAATAAATAAAGGTCCATTGACAACTTAAAAAAAAGAAAGAAAAATGACTTAGGAATTGATGTTAGAAACAAGATTTTCAGCATGTATTAAAATATTTTGTGTAAAAGTCACATTCTCATAGCCCAATATTTTCTAACAAATTTGGGTTCTTATTTATAATTATCCAAAAGAGAGATGTATAAGTTCAATCTTTGATCTTTGTTCCCAGAAAATCAGTAAGACAAAAAAAAAAAAATGTGAAACTATTACATTGAGGGGCTAACATTCTGTTTTCAGGCATTTCTGAGCAAATACTAATTTCACTTTATGATATGAAGCCTTTAAATATTGTATGAGATTTAAATCAAATCCAAGGTAGCAATTTCCTTGAAAACACACTGTCTGTGTTTACTGACTAGTGTTTTAAGGTGATTGGTAAGAGGATAGAAAGAAATTATAATGGAAGTAAATTAAAGAACAGAGACACTCACCCTAGTTTTGGCATCGATCTGACCACCTCGATCCAGTAAGAGCTTCACCATGTTTGTGTTTCCCCTTTTGGAAGCCACATGCAGAGGAGTAATTCCATTCTACACCAAGGAAAGACAAAACAGAGCAAGTTGGGTATGACGGCATGATAGCAGGGGACTTGGTGTCAAAGGGCACAAAGGGCACAAATGACCACCTGGTAATTTGACCCATGGTTTCTACTGTTTCAATATCTTTGATTTTTTTTAAGGACCAAAGAGGCACACAAACTACAAAGCACTATTGATAGAGAATACAAAATGGAATCAAACAGCATAAATTATCAATAGCTATGAGTGTACTGAACGTACACATTACAGTGAGTAGAAAAAGGGAGAACTTTGGTGTAGTAGAAACAAAAGCTCAAATTCTATTTAACATAGATTCCCTAGGATAAAGTCTTTTGATAATATCCATGCTCTTAAAAAGTCTGGGATCTCAAAGTTTTCTACACTTAGAAATAGAAGTACAGCTAGATTAGACAAAGGGGAACAAAGGGGAGGGAGGGGAGATAGAAACAAGAAAGACGGTAGAATGAATTGGACATAACTTTCCTATGTTCATATATGACCAGTGTAACTCCACATCATGTACAACCAAAAGAATGGGAATTTACTCCATGTATATATGATATGTCAAAATACATTCTACTGTCATTCATAACTAAAAATAACAAGTTTTTTTTAAATAGCATACAAATATACATATTAATATCCAATGGAAAATGATTCTTATAAACATATTTTTTAGAATAATTCAGTAAGAAAGGCAACTTGAAAACAGCACAACATAGTTCCAGTGCAGAAAACTTCTTAGGAGAAAAACACAATAAAAATTATCACTATGGTAAGAATATGTACCTTATTTTATCATACTTTTTTGAATATTCAAATCTTGCATTAATTGATTTATACTATATACTATCACATAGGTGAATTTTATATCTTTCATGTAAATGAATTATTTCCATACCATTAAGCAGATAATACTCCGTGTTATTTCTGTTTCTATATTTTAGTCAGACTCCTCGTATGAATGAATTCTCAATTCATTAAACAAAAAATTTCTCTGTCAAATTGCGTGCCCACTTATTACTGTAACACATACTACCTATATATTTATGTATAATATTCCATTGTTTATTAACTTATAGCTGATTATTCATCATTTTCAGAATGATCTTTAAACATAACTGCTCAAACTGTTGTCAAAACTAATAGTTTTCTCAACTATTGCAAATGATTTGTGTGCATGTGAATTTAGGACATTCCTATTTTTTACTTGTTGAATCCCAAGAACTTCCTGAGATGTGAAAAAAAAAGTAAAAGGAAAATCTAGTACCTTTTAGGAAGTTCCAAGAAAGGGGAAAAAATAAAAATAAAATCTTTAAGAAAGCCATTGGTGTTCACTTTTACTTTCATAAAATACCCGTTTATTGCTGCCTAAGATATGAAACTATTTCAATCCATACCCTGGCTGTGAAGTCCACAGCAGCTCCCCGGTTTAGAAGAAGAGTTGCCACATTGACGTTTCCATAGTGTGCAGCTATGTGCAAAGGAGTAAAACCACTCTGTGGAAAGGAAAGAAATGGCAGTTGACAAAGCATTTCACTTGTTATGCTGTGGTCACCAAACCAATGAAGAAAATCACATACTTTACCGCTTACCTAATATATGAGAAACATAATTTAGATAATAAATGCTTTAAAAAGACTCCTCAAATTGTAGTGTTATGTGGTGATAGTTACATAAAGAGGTAAATGCACAATATATAGTTATATAAAGAAATAAATATTCTACATTCACTGGTTTCATTATTTTTAATGATCACAAATGTTTATCTATTTATGAGATTTGCTTATTCCAAACCATGTTTCTTGAGTTGATTTAGCATAATAGAGAAAAACAAAATGTAATTAAAAAAACATAAAATTTCAGCCATAGAATTAACACATTGTGAATTTCAAAAATGTGGTTTTCTTGGGGAGAAGGTTTCAAACCTGTGTTTTTGTTCTTGATTTGTAAAATAGCATTGATTGACATTATGTCTTTGGAACTGTGAAAATTCTTACAAATACCTGACATGGTATTTCCATATCGTTACAATATTAATAACGGTATTTCCATATCGTTATTAATCAGCTATGTTTTATAATGAAAAAAAAATTTAAAGAAAAATTAAATAATATACTTGGTAGTAATAAGAATACAAAATAAAAGTTCAGCATAGTCCAATTTTGAATGCTAATTAAACTAATTTTTATTAATAAAATATGATTAAGATAACCAGGTTAGATCAATTATACAAGTATTAGAAAATTATTTATTCTGAAAATGTTCAAAAAGTAACATCTGAACTTTTTATGTGAAGAAAAGTAGATACTCATTTGTTTGTTCATTTATTTATTTTTGATGAAAATTTGTTTTAAAACTTTTGGCCAGGCACATTGGCGCCACCTTTGATCCCAGCAACTCAGGTGGCTGAGGAAGGAGGATTCTAAGCTCAAGGCCAGCCTCATTTATTCAGTGAGGACCTAAGCAACTTAGCAAGACCCCTGTCAAAAAAAAAAAAAAAAAAAAGAAGGGGGAATGTGGCTCAGAATTAAGTGCCCCTGGGTAAATCGCCAGTAACCCCTGCTCCCCAAAAGACATTAATTATCACAATAGATGTCTTAACTCTTATTAAATTGCACAAAGATCTGATCATCTTCTTCACTCTATTTTCATTACTTAAAATAGTATTAATTGGCTATGACATCCTGCCATTTTCTGATTATTTTCTATTGTTCTTTATTATTTGAACTGAACTTTGATGTGTACCATATTACTTTAAAGAAATATTTTCTAAATTACAATCATTGTTTTTCTATTGAGTTGATATGTGGGTTTAGTGGTTTTGTTTTTAAAACACTCTCAATAAGTTCTCAGATAACTTAGGTAACAGAAATTTTTCTGCGCTATCAGCAACATTAACTGCAAATAATTTTTAACTGTAGAGAAGCAAGACCCAAAATGAGAATAGTAATTATCAATCCAAAATTCCACAACTGTGGTCAAGATATTTTTATTTTACATTTAGGTAATGCCAAAAAGTCATGTCAAAATGTTAAAAAAAAAAAGTCAGTCTACTCCGGATATCATTTTATAAAATGTCAAATTGTTGTATTTTAAAACATAATTGATTTTTTCATTTTTATCTTGATATTTCCTGTCACCCAGGCATATCCTGAATGTATGTCTATTATTCAAGTTATAATATAATTTCAGAAAAACATACTGATTGCTGGTAGAACATTTTCAAATTATTCAAGTATAATAATATTAGTTTCTCATTTGCAAAAATAAATGAATTTATCGTCTGATACATCCTCATTGACCATCTAGGCTAATGCCTCAGCCTGTGAGTCTTGGAACAGCACAAGACTAACAGAAGCCCTCTCAGAGGACTCTTCCCTGATTAACAGAGAAGTGGGAGGCAGAGTTCACCCTTCCACAAGACTACAGATGGAATGATTCCTATTCTTGGTGCTCGATTAACTTAAGAGAAATATTTATAACCAAGTACAACTCAATCCAAACTGCTGCTTTCAAATATGATATTTAGAGCTAACACTGTTTTCAAAAACGTATCATATTCACCAAAGAGCATCTAAAAAATTAAATGTATTAAAATCAGTAATCAGTAATAAAGATCAATTTGTACAATTCCTATCTTGAATAATTTCACCAAAGTATTGATTGGGGGCCTCTGCTGTTTTTTTGTTTTTGTCTCTGACCTAGGTTCCATGCATAGATATGGACCAAAAGAAGTGACACAAATAACTCAAGTCTGCCGCTATCTCAAAACAAAAATGTGTCAATAAAGAAAATTATAGTTTTAGAAATACATCTCTATCGTTCAACACTAAGTGTGAATGTTCAAGGCTTCATAATCTCCATGAGCCCATAATCCAGTAATCAAATAAGATGTTAAAGAATTCCCTCAGGGGCTTGGATCTATCTCAGTTGGTAGAGTGTTTGCCTCCCATGCACGAGGTCCTGAATTCAAGCCCCAGCACCAAAAAAAAAAAAAAAAAAAAAAAAAAAAAAAAAAAAAAAAATTCCCTCACTCCAGTGAAAGTCAAGCTACATGATCAGCCACTTGCCTTTGAGTATAGAATAATATCCATAATATACTTTCAACAATGTTTCTGTTAGGGCATGTCTGCAGCAATGGCCAAGGAGAGACTAGACCCCCCCCCCAAACACACACACATATCCCACCCTGAGAGGTTTCAAAACTTATTACTCTTGTTGCTTGATGTCATCTATTTTCATATGAGGACAATGATTTAATGGCAAGTGTTTTAAGACTTATAAAAAAAAGTAACTGCTTTGCACATGATATGCTCGATATGATTATTGATTACAAACAAAGTGATAAAGAAAAACACATACAGGGGTAAAAAGGCAATTGCAATTAGACAAAAATATAAAACATGGTAACAGAGAAACCTCTCTCATTTTCGCTTCTCTAAACTTTAATCTGAGAATTCTCATTAAGAAATCAAGATCGCATCTCTTCTTTGCAAAAAGTTAAGAGTAAAGCTCACTTATTAAAATATGTTAAGGAAGAGTTTTATTTCATGGTCTAGTCTCATAAACTTTAAATTTGAATTTAAATAGTTTCGTTGATTTAATAACACGTCAAACAGATGTTGCATTAAATATATTTGAACTATCAATTTTCCTTAATTATAAGAAAAATTTCTAAATGATTTCCCATTCATGGAAATTTTAATCATTAGTATGAATTAGTGAGCATTTATTCTAACTGGGTAAAAATTAAAAATAAATAAAAATAAGGCAAATTTTGGTATAATCACAATACTGTACCTCGGTTGTCCTATTCACCATCATCTGAAGCAGTGTTGTATGGGAAAAAGAGGGAAAATATTACACAGTGCAAAATTAAGGAAACAGTCAATCTGCTTGCTGAACTGGGGATACTATTCCAACATGCCAAAATGTAGTCTACTCAGAAAAAAGTCCCAAAACACTATGCAATACAGTTGTTTCTTTCTGATTCTTTTTTCTATTATTTATGACTGTAAACAGAAGGAAGTAAATTTCTCAATAGCCAATCCTCATCATTTAAAGAAAATTATCTCGCATTTAATTTTTTTTTCTAGTGTACCCAAATACCCCATCTTTCTGAAATACCTCTGAAAGTAATTTTATCTCTTTTCATGAGCAGGAGTAATTTTGCATTATCACCGGGGCCTACTTCTTTATCACTCCCCAGGAAGAATCTGGCAGCACAGAGTTCCTGTAAACAGATGCACTCAGCTTTTACCTTGGATTGGACGTCAGCGTTGTGGTCATTCTGAAGCAGGAGTGCCGCAGATTTGGTGTCGTCTTTCCTAGCTGCAATGTGCAGAGCTGGCAGCCTTACTTTGCCTTTGGTGTCATTCTCCAAGAGGATGGCCACCGCCTGATTGTGTCCTTGCTGGAGGGCCACAGCTAGAGGAGTAAAGCCATCCTGGCAAAATCGAGGAAGAAAAATATCTTCCGTTAACATCCAGATTCTTAGGTTTCAGCTTCAAGCAGTGGTGTCTCTAAATTTTAAGGTAGTGATGAACACTGATAAGCAAGATCAGAAGCAGATCATAATTAGTCATTTGTCACACTGTGGACTAAGTTAATCAGATTTCTTTCCTAAATTCTATTCTATAGATTTCTTTAAAAGATGTATCCTAACAAAGCACACTACCTAAAGGGTGTGATTGTTTTGAAGCCGGAATGTGATCACCTGTATGTTTTTGTTGTTGTAATTGTTTTTTTTTTTAAATTGATCACTTGTATGATTTTAATGGGAAATAAAAATTAGAACAAACCTCAAGGAATGCCTGGTTATGAGAAGGAAAATGTGGGAAGATAAGAGTGGAACTTAAGATAGAGTGGAACTTAAATCTGACTGGGAATCACAAATATGGTAACCACCACACACACACACACACACACACCCGATCAACTATGCAAGTTGCTCAATGTCTCTGTATTGGCTGGGAAAGTGATAACCATTGTGGATGAAATGGCTATTACCAATCCAATTTTGGAAGTTTTGGACATAATGTGATCTAAAACTCTTTGGCAAATTAGGATAATCATTAATTTTGTTCTAAACTAAATTTTCTTTAAGAGCATTTAGATATAAAATATATATTCTATAAAACATTTATAAACTGATTTTTGAAATCTAAAGTTAAAAAGAGTGCTAAGCAAACAACAGTACAGATAATGCAAAATTAGAAGGAGCTTAGGGGTAAAAAGACAACTGTACTAGACAACTTGGAACGTCATGTTTTCTCTTTAAAAACAAGTCTTTAGTTCCTGGAAAGGTGATCGGTAAATAGAAAAAAATAGATATTCTGGGCTATATTTCTGTTAAAAAATCTCCTTGATTCCCAAAAGTTTAGAAACAAATCTTTAATGTTTCCATTCATATACAGAAGAGAGGTCAAGATACATGGTCAAGAGCCAGGAACAGTGGAGCACACTTGTAGTCCTAGCAGGTAGGGAGGCTGAGACAAGAAGATTCCAAGTTCAAAGTCAGCCTCAGTAATTTAATGAAGCCCTAAGCAATTTAGCAAGATCTATCTCAAAGTTTAAAAAATAATAAATAAATAAATAAAGGACAGGGGATGTGGCTTGGTGGTTAAGCTCCCCTGGGTTCAATCCCTGCTACCAAATAAATAAATAAATAATAAGAAAAAAAGTTTGAAAAGGAGGTTATACATTTAAAGATTGCATTATAGAGACAATGGTAATTTACCACAATGTAACCACTAAATTTGTTTTCAATAATAATTTTAGAATGTTAAGTGAAGCCTTTTGAAGGAAAATAATTTTTCTCAAATATATCACATTATGTATGCAGTACTAACCCCAATAAGTAATTTTTTTTTTCTTTTTAAGATTAGAATTAGAATTAGTAATAGCTCATTACTTAATAGAATGAAAGAGTAAAGAATGTTGTGTCCGAAGATGAAAAACGGCAGCTAGCTTAAATTTAGAATTTAGGCACAGATTAAGAACTCGTTGAACAGGGAAAACATAGTGTCATTATCATATACATATTTTATTTTATTACCTTTTGAAACACTGTGATAGCTTATATTTTTAAAAGTGTGAACTTTGTTTTTTTTTTTTCTTGGAGATGAAGCATTTGCTTCATCAGAATGGAACTTTATTAGAGAGATATCAGCCTTCAATTTTGGCAACACTCAGGAAAAAGGAAGAGCAGAGAAATGTAAAAATGGTACTGGAGGGACAGTGAACTCTCTTTGGAGAATGTAACTCTAGATCTCCACCCAAGTTTTACTGGATTTTATTCCAATCTATACCTCATTTGGAATGATATGTTGAAATATCTCAACTAACTCAAGGAAATCCAGGTTAAATTTCAGTTGCTTCATTTTTCATCATTTATTTATCAATGCTAACTGCTATAATCATGATAAATTTGCAACTTTAAATATTTCATCATACACATGAGTTTCACGGCCATGTTCAATGATTCCATAATTATCTGATTTTTAAAGTGGGCATAATGTCTTGATTAGTAATTAATTTTTGCAAATTAGTACTAACAACCAGTTCAGGGTGTCTCCTTTAGGCATAACCACATCTGTGCCCATGAGATTATAGCAGATATTTAGCAATGCAGCATAACATATCAAATGACAACCAACCATATGCCACTACAAACATTTTTTTAAACAGAAATGATGGATTTAAAATGCAATGTATATGCAACTGTTTAACGCATGTGAATCATTACAATGAAATTTGGGAAAGATATGTTGCCAAGAAAAATAAATAAATAAAAATAAAGTAAGTGATTTATTTCTCTTTTTCCTCAGTTCACATTAGGAAAGTGATTTTCTCCTTGTAATAAATATGTAACCTGGGAGTAGAGCTCAAAAAAAAATGCAATGTATAAAGTTTAGTCCATATGTGTGTTTTTTGATAATCATAAGGGTCAGTGCTAGTGTATTAATGAATTAAAATTCTTTTATACATTCAACCAAAAGTTAAATTTAGTTATTAAGGTGATTTTTAAAATGAAACAAATAAGGTATGCATGTGTTTAAGCTAGGATTCAAAAATCCCGTTCATTTGCAAAAGTTGCATCTTGGTACAGAAACCAGAGAGGGTTTTAAGTTTCTTTGGATCACGATGTAACATTGCCTCTACCAAAGCAGAGTACATAAAAGGGGTATTTTTGGAATCAGACTGAAATGCTGCAAAGGTCTAGACCAGAAGAGCCTGAGTCAGCTGAGAATGTCCGGCAAGCTGAGTTTACCTAAATCTTCCACTAGAGACATTAAGTCTATATGGTGACTAAGAGGGCTCTGGTGTACAAGTTTCACCTGGTAAGTGATTCTGTCTTTTAAGGAAAAGAATAAAACATTAGAGAGATTTCCTTATTTTGGTATATTTCTCAGAGATACAGTCTCTTTGTTACCCAAGCTTTGCCTGAAGATATTCACGTGGACAGAATTAGTGTCTCAGGGAAAAAAGGCCCCAAATCATAACAATCACTTTGTACTCCTATGGCAAGAGTGCAAAATCTGTCTGTTCTGAACAAAGAATATGGAATCATTTCATATTGGGCAGCTGCATTTTCTGGTTATAAGTAGGAAATGTGTTCTTATTAAAAGACTGATTTATTGGGATTTTTTAAATGGAAATAAACTGTCAGAAAGTGATTTTGATTGGCTCCATAAAAATTTTTCTCCCAAACAGCCTGGAAGTGGATTTAATAGATTTAATGACTGCCATTGTTGTGTAGAAAGAAGTTCATGTTCATTTAACCTAAAGATTTAATTGTCTGGAAAGGAAGCCATATTCAACATTAAAAATTATCAAGATGGTTTCTGGGTTACAAGATTCAAGCAATCCTATTTCATTTCAGGCCTGGAGTTGTAAAATTGTATCAGTGGAGCTAGAAAATAGGAAACAGGAAAAACAAAGCCTGAATACTCTGGTTAAAAGAGGTGAGGAGGGAAAAGTCAAAGTGGAGGCTCCTTCCTCTCCTCTCCCACATCACCCACTCCTAGCTCTCCAGGAGTCCCCAAGGCATTTTCTCCAAGCTCAAGGGCTTCAGGAGCAACACCTAGAAATTACTCTCTTGGAAAAATCACTGGACTTGCCCCTGCATCTGCCTAGGCTAAAATGAGATGGAAAATACAAAGTAAAATCTTCTTATGAGGTGAACATGTGTAGGAAAGAAAAGTGATGTTCTGAGAGTCCCTGCCCCCTCCCAATCCCTCGTAAGATTACATGTCCTGAATGAACTCTTTGAAACTGGACCGATGTCAATCATGGTATTTAGTGGTGGCCATAAACACACCTATGCCATATTCCAGTTTCAGTATAAATAGCATTTTAGTGACATTTTCCTCAGAAAATTATGGTAACACAAATACTTATGAATTATTTCTGATGGTGAGAAATTGTTCCTTCAAGGAATTGTATTGAATTTAACCAGATAAAATATTGATAAAAAGGAATGATTATGATTCATGGTAATCTACTTTTAAAATGGTATAAAGATTGCAAAAGTAGAATACCCCAAATTGACACAGGCATGATTTCATGTAAGAATAAGTGGCCGTGAATCTAAAGTGAAGGCATAAACTCATGGAACTGTGTGCACAAGCCTGGGTCATTTCTTCACAGCCACTCTGTGGATGTAATTATAATATGAGTATTGCCAGCATGTTTTAGAAAAGTTAATGGAGAGCTTTTGCAACTGGTATAAAGAACATGGACATTATAATCAAAGAACTTAAGACTTGGACTGGCAGTCTTACCTCTGTAGCAGTGCTCTGATTAGCTCCATTTTCCAGTAAATATTTTACAACATCAATGTGATTCTCCTGAGCCGCCATGTATAAGGGAGTGAAGCCATTCTGAGAACAAATGATAAAAAAGATGACAGCTTTAATCATTTATAAAGCTTAAACCATGGAAGAAAATAGCACAAGGAAAGAGACATTATGAAGTAAACCTTTCAAATGACGAATCTACATAGCATACTTTCACACTGAATAAATCATGTATGTCATTACTATTATGAGACTAGATCACCATTGACCAATTCCCACAAACAATTCATAAAGAAATAAATAAATGAGGAGAAGTAACTATTACTTCTCTATTATAGTTATGAATTTATGCTTGCAATTCTAACAGCAAATTCATGAAATATTTCCAAATAAATTAGAATCCTCTTTTACTCAAAAAAATTAAAAATTAAAAAATGTCATGAAAAAAAGAAATGAGGAGAAAAGAACAGAGTGAAAATATTTTTCTCACTTTAATACCAGAGATTCACATTTTTCATCTCCCAAAACTGCTGAAGATACTTATTTATCTTAATCTACATAGTTCTGTGCTATGTAGATATTCTATAGAGCATATAGAATTCTCACTATATAAAAAATAATATATAATGTCCTCTGTGTTTATCAATTTATAAACTATTTAAACAGACCTGTATTGTTTTGAATATAAACAATTTAGTTAGTATTCTTATGGGTATAAATTATTGCTTATACCAGAATAGGCTAGAAGAAATTGCAAATTTGATTGAAAGTTAAAAAAAAATCTGTATCTTACCATTCTGATTGAAATAGCATGGCCTGATGGCCTGTACTAAACATGATTTTATTATTTTTAAATCATTCTGAAATGTTACCATTTTTGTAATTATTTAATTAATTAATTATCAAAATCCAGCTGCTAGTAGCTAAGTCATCACTGAAAAACAGCGAACAAGAGGAACACACATGTCCTCACGGAGCACACATTATAGGAATATTACATTATTATGGACTTGGGCAAAAATTCACTTAAATTTACAACATTATTCTAAAACTAAGTTTAAATTGGCAGGTTACCTTTTCATTAGATCCGTAGGAATAATATAAGCCCCATTAAGAAAAGAAGAAACACCAAAAAATTATTTAAAAATAATGCTTGTGTAATAGTTCATAAACTCTCAAAACCCAGCAATTCTCTCAAAACCACAAGAATCTTAAAACATTGATAATTTCCTCAAATTTTCCATGCATTAACAAGAATGCGTAAAAATAGAGGTGAGTATTCAGAGACTTTTTTAACTTAAAAGGAGAAAAATAGCATTGTAAAATTATTTTATTGACATAAAAATTCTTCTATATACTCTATGACTGTGGAAATGGTATTCAAATGCCCCAAATCCAGCAAAATATATACAGAGTGTACAAGCAGAATAAGTAATTTTTAAATTTGATTATAAAAGAAAATCTGCAGGCTTCAAATGGTAGAAGAAAATTTAAAACTTAAAAAAGAAATATTATAAGAGGAGTGAATTAACAATGTTGTAGGATTCAAGAATAGTTTGCTGGCTCGATAGCATACTTTTTAAACACAGCAAGCAGGTGAAATCTTGTATATTTTAAGAACAATGAAGAGGTGGCGGAAGGATGGAATTAGAGATTCAAAGGAAGGGAAAGCCAGGGAAGATGGTTAAAAACAATGAGTGGGTGTGGAATGGGATCTTTCATGACAAGTAAAAGGCAGGGATGCAAAAAGAGAAAAAGAACTTTTAATCGAGTACAGCAATTGGCTGACATTTTTCCTCCAGCAGAATCTTATAGCTAGATCAGGAGAAAGGAAAATAGATAGTGGTTTCCAGATTGACAGGGGAAAGGAAATGAACCATCCTTTGGCCTTTGCCTTTACAACAGCCCCAGCCCTGGGTGGTGAGCTGTAGCAGAACCTCCTCTGGCTGAGCAAGGCAGCAAATGCTGAGGGCCAAGGAGACATGCCCACTATGACCCCAGTGTTTCCTGACTTCCAGGCCACCCCTCACACACCTGGCTGCCCAGAATGTCTGCCTAAGTGTTCTTGAGTATGTTCCCAGTGTTTCCTCAGGCTTCTTCCTTGTCATCCTCCCAAGGGTTCTTTGGTTAGCTGAATAAAGGGCCATATATATATATCAATATCCTCATCGTTGGAACATGTAAACTACCTTATATGATAAAAGGAACTTTGCAGACATGATTAAATTAAAGACCTCGACACCTGGAGTAGCCAAATGGGCTCAATGCCTTTGCAAGGGTCTTCATGAGAGGGAAGTAAGAGTTCAGAGGGAGAGAAGACACTACACCATGGGCTTTAAAGATGGAGGAAGGGGTTATGATTCAAGGAATACAGATCCAGAAGTTGGAACTGTCAAGAAAAATAGACTCTTACCTAACATCTCCAGAAGGAAACAACAATGCCATCCTTTGGATTAAACCCAGTAAGTTTAATTTTCAAAACTAGAAGAGAATAAATTCATTGTTGTTTTAAGCCATTGAACTTGTAGTAATTTGTTACAGCAGCAACAGGAATCAAATACACACCCTAAGAGTTGCTTACTAGGGAGAGTGGAAGTAGGAGATGAACAGAGCTTGAATAGGCTGGTGGTCCTGAAATGCAGATGAAGCCAGGGATAAGAAGAGCAGAGGGGCTGGCCATAGGTCAAGGTCCAGGCTTGGCACTCCTCTCACCATAGTTCTTGTGTGGAACTGTGCAGAAGTCTATATATGGATTTGCCATGTTGTTTTAGTAGTTATCAAAATAGAACACTTATTTAAAAGTTTGTTAGTTCAATCTATATTTTATAATTTTAAAAATTGTAAGTGGGTCCCTTTTGTACTCTTGCCTTGGGACCTGCAAGTATTAAAAGAATGTAGAGTGGTAGAAAGAAAAGAGAGAGAGAGAGAGAGAAGGAGAGGGAGAAAGAGGAAAGGGGAGAGAAATCAAGGCTTACAAAATATAGTAAACAGAGGGGAGAGGACCATGATAGGAAACTTTAAGATTTTGGTGACAGTACATCACAAATACCATTTGTGTGCATTGTGTCATAACCTTGTGTTCCTGGTCTTCCAGCAGAGGAGGAAAACAAATATTAAGAACAAAAATAAAAATGATCCACTGAGCTTCTGCTACATTAGCCACTGTGAGAAATGCATTCAATATATGTTCTCAAATTATAGTGACGGCATGCCCCAATTTGCCTAGAATAGCCCACATTTATGCAAAATGTCCGGGAGTATCTCAGTTTGGATGACTCATGACCCAACCCTATCTCTAATACTTAGCATAGTGCTGCAACATTAGCACTATTTCCCCTACTAAAATGAAGCAGCTAAGGTCCAATACATAGGCAATTTGGCCAAAATCTCATAGCTAATTATTGTTCATGAATAACCTTCTTGTAATGGAATTGGAACTTTATCTGTAGCTGAGGAGTCCTCAGCCTGGCTATGAGATAGAATCTCCTCTAGAAACTGTTAGAAATGCCTAGGTACCACTCTACTATCCTACTCCTACCAAACTGGAGTCTCCATGTGCAAAGCCCAAACACATGTACTTTTTACAAAACTCATTTTTTTGAAAGCACCCAAAGACATTTTTTTATAAGTGATGCAGAATGGTTGATTGGTTTGGGGTAGGAAGTACCATGACTGCATCTGTATTTTAAAAAGTTTACTCTTTCTAAAATGAATACTTTGGCTTGGAGTGGTAGGAGAGGAGAATGGAAACATGGTATTAATCAGTTTTTGCAGAATTTGCAATAGGGTACATAAAAGAAGGAAACATGAGTTAAGGCAATACTGGTTAAGAGATGAGGGAATTGTTTACTGATATAAAACACATGAGATGAGACAATAAAGATTTAATGCAGATTCTAAAGATGTGCAAATGATCCTTTCTTACCATACTGCTACTTAACAAGAAATATCCCACTGGAGAATGTGAACACTCCTCTGAGTAATTAGGACAAAGCCCAGCAGCACATTAACACCATTGTAAATTTTACAGGAAAGCATTCATCTTCACACATAAGTGACTTAACCACACAGCATAATTGGTCTCTGTGTACATGCATTAAGGCACTTGCCCATATATTATGTCTCAATGTTTTTCTAAAATAGTCCAAACACAAGTAGGTATGAAAGTATATATAGTTTCTCATGTTGATATAAAAAAAAAAGTCAAAGATTCTTACAGCTGGAGTTGATATTGGTGGGTACAAGAAGCACAGCATCAGCAGTTGTATTCTGACATAACCCATAAGTACCTCTAGCAACTAATCATTAAATATTTTGAATATTACCCCTGCCTGTAGGAAATTACTAATTATCTGTCATTCATTTATATTTATTCAATAGAAAATGTGTTTGGTGACTCTTCATTGTCAGAAATTGTTGTTTAGCCTTAGTGATTCAGAGACAAAAAATAAGAATATCTGTTTGTAAGAACTCACAGTCCAGAGCTAAGATGAACAAATTAGCAAATGACAGTTCAGTGAACACATTAGTTTATTAAATAATTAATTAATTAATTAATTAAATAAATTTTTATTTTTTAAAGTGATATATTGGATATAAGGAAAACATAGATAAAGGACACAGAACTCAACTTTCTAAGGAAGTTGTATCTGAAGGATGTTACTGGGAGTGACTCAGTGTGAACTGAGTCATGGAAACACCTAAGTTAGACCCAGAAGCAGAAAAGGTGTTTCAGACAGAAGAAACAGTATGAGATGAGAACATGTAGGACAAATGGGGACCTACAAATAATTCAATGCTAGAGGGGAGAGGAGGTAGAAGATAGGCAGAAAACAGTCCCATCTGCCATGTTGGGGAGTCTGGATTTTATTTTTAACACCTTGGGAATCACTGGGTTTTAAACAGGGGTTCACTATGAACACATTTGCATTTTAAGGAAATGACATTGCCAGGAATGAAGAGGATGACATGGAAAGTGGCCAGACTATAGTCTAGCAGAGTGGAAAGAAGATTTTCATCATAATCCTGATAAGAAGTGAGATTTAGAAATATTAATATGACTTTGGTACTTCAAAATATAATTT